TGAGGAAGCGCACCATTATCGCTGGAGAAGATGGTGCTCTGACTGAGCTCAAAAACAAGATGTGCCCAGGTGACCATGAACACCACATCATTGAAGGCGGCTACAAGACCAAAACAGGTCAATGGGCATCGCTAGCAGAGTTTGCTGGTGGCTATCCCAAGGAGCTTTGCACTGCACTTTTGAAGGGAGCTGAAGCCTGGCTGACTCACAAAACCAATGAGGCCTTCACCGAGGACTATGAGATTGAAGACACGGTCCCGGATTGGATGGCTGGTGAAGACTACATTGAGGAGCAGAAGAGTCGCCAAGAAGCTCAACTCGATGACACCCTTCGTTTCCATGGCACTGAGCATCAAGGCCCAGAGGACGATGAACGTCATCCAGTAAGTGCAGAAACTCGCAAAGCTGTTGAATTTGCTCACAGGCAGCTGGGACACCCAACTCGTGCTTCTTTGACTCGTATGTTGAAGTTGGGCGGTGCCAGCCAGGATGCATTGAGGTATGCCAGCAAGTTTCATTGCTCAGTTTGTGCTGCACGACAAGCACCAAGACACCCGAAGCCTTCAACTGTATCCACGAGACCATTTGGCTTCAACGTGCACCTTCATTTGGACCTGAAGTACCTGTACGACTCCAGAAAGAAAAAGTATGTTTGCTTGAGCATTCTGGACTTAGGTACCATCAAGCACGATGCGATCATGCTCAAGAACCGCCGCTCCGACTATGTGGCAGAGAAATTCTTGCGACACTGGATAGCGCTCTATGGATGCCCCGCTCAAGTCACCCATGACCAAGGAGGAGAATTCGAACAGTCGTTCCATGCCCTCCTAGAAGATCTAGCGATCCCTTCAAAGGTGACAGGAGCACATGCAGCATGGCAGTTGAGCGCGGGAGAGCGTCACGGAGCCACACTGGGAGTCATGTTTCAGGCGATTGTAGATGAGCATGGCATCACTGGCTATACCCAAATGAAGAAAGCTTTGTCCTGTGCAGTGATGGCAAAGAATGCTACCTTGACCAAAGACGGTTACACCCCAAATCAAAGAGTGTTTGGCGTTGAGCACAAATGGCCGAGTTTGACTGCAGATGATGTTGGAATGAGCTTCGTTCAAGGCCTATCTGCAGACAGTGAGGTGGCCCGCGCACACAAGATGCGCACAACAGCTCGTGTGGCTCTTATTCGCCAAGATGTCCGAGACAAACTTCGAAGGACACTGCTACGCAAGCCACCTACAGCTACAGGACCATTCGTGTCAGGTGCTCAGATCTATTTTTGGGTGCCGCAGCTCAAGCGCTACAACCGTGACAGTGGCCAATGGCGTGGTCCGGCTACAGTGTTGGTTCAAGAACAACAGAAAAGATACTTTGTGAGTTGGCGAGGACGACTACTCCTACTAGCCGAGGAGAACATGAGGCTTGCAACCCCAGAGGAATTGGCACTTTCGGAACCGGTGAAGGAAGACGTCCTGGACATCCAAGAGCTTTTGAGAGATCCAACGAGATCTAACATCTACCAGGACCTTCGAGCAAAGCCACCGCCTCCGAGACCTCGAAAGAAGAGAGAACCTCGTCCTCCCGAAGATCCACAGAGGCTGAGAGCAAAGAACATCTTGAGGGGAACCAAGGCAGTTCGAAGACTGTTGAGTCAGCGACCTCAGATGTCTCAGCTACCACGGCAGAAGAAGAGGAAGGAGTTGCCAGCGGCAGTTGAACCTCCACTACATCGAGAAGAACCACCTCGTGTTCCTCTACCTGCTCAACCTGTGGCAGCGCCATTGGAACCGGCACCGCGTGTCGTAAGGCGGCGCCTGGCTTTGGAGGATGCGCCTCCGGTTGTGGCTGTGAGCCACCCCCAGCACCTGTGGCCGAGCCACCACTGGAAACTGCCCCTACATCTGGTGTCGATGTGCCGATTGATGATTCAGGTGGTCTATCCGACTATTCACCGACTTCGCCGGCAGATTCACCACGTCCTGATCATCCACCAGATTGGGAGCAATTGCCTACAGAGGCCCGAAGACAGCGTCTCACAGATGATGTTCCTTTCAGCATTAAGCGGAAATTGCAAGGATCCACTACTTCAGAACTCCCCTTGAAGAGGGCCAGACCGAGCACAGCTTTGTTTATGCAGGTGCTCGCTTCCACAGTTTCGGAAGGACCTGCCAACGAATGGATCACCCGCCATGAAGTGGAACTGCTCAGGCAACTCACTGGATTGCCGATCACAGCTGCGAGGCTACATCGCTTTCCCCGAAAACGGTTCATGAAGCCACCTCGCAAGCGAGCTCGGGTGACAATTTTGATGGGCAAGGATCCGGACAACATCTTCATGGTGGAAGAAGATCAAGAGGAAGCTGCAAAGCATCCCCGGCGGAGGTCATCTTTTCCATGGCGAGGAATGACTTTCTTTTTAAAGAGTGAGCCACCGCCAACAGAACAGAAAACCTACATCCAGCTTCCTGATGGGATCTATGAGGCCAACTTGAAAGAGGAGGAGCGACGACAGTTTGAGCATCTTTGGCTGGAAGATCTGCATGATCACCTGTTAGCAGAGGTGATGCTCCTCAAGCTCAAGCAGAGCGGGAAGGAGTTAGATCCAAAGTTCTTTGATGAAAAGGAGCGTGCAGAGTTCCTCAAAGCAGATGCCAAAGAGTGGCAACAGTGGGTCCGCAATAAAGTCATCAGGAGGAAGCAAAGATTCCCAAGCACCTCATTTTCAAGGCTCCTTTGCGAATGGTGCGAGTCAATAAGCAGACTCAACTCCTGGCACCGTTGGTGGCGAAATCCCGTCTGGTAGTTCCTGGACACCGAGATCCTGGATTGGGTCACTTCAGGAGCGACAGCCCTACAGCAACGCTGCAGGCAGTTCGGACGTCAAAAGCTGTGGCGGTTCGGAATGGATGGAAAGGATGGTCATTTGATGTCACCACGGCATTCCTTTCAGGCGAGAACCTCACCCGAGACGTCTACGTCAGAGCTCCAGAAGAAGGTTTACCAGCAGTTGAGGGAGAGCCTCCGGTGAAAGCTGGAGAATTGATGAAGATCCTCCGATCTGCGTACGGCTTGGTTGAAAGCCCAAGGCTTTGGTACTTGCGTGCTAGCAAGCTGCTCACGACCACACCTCTGGAAGAATTGCCTATTAGCAAGAGCAGCTTCGTGGCCGCGGAAGGCAACAAAGCCTGGAGCATTCTCAGCTTGCATGTTGATGATGGGCTCTTGTTTGGCGATGAAGGTGATCCACGCTTTCAGAAGTTGAAGAGTGACATCAACAAGATGTTCACGATCAAAGAGTGGAAGTCGATCCCTTTGACTTTCCTAGGCGTGGACCTCAAGCAAAAGGGTGAAGAACTTTTTGACGATATGTCAAACTACATCGCCAAGATCGCCCTCCCAAGCATGAAGCTGGAGCCCAAGAATGATGACAAGCCACTTGATGCCCAGCAGCTCACGGCATATCGACAGTTGGTGATGAGATTGCGATGGCCTGGCCAACAGTCAATGCCGCAACTTTTGTACAAGACGAGCAAGCTGGCGCAGTATGCAACAAAAGCCACGATGGGTGACTATAAGGCGGCACTCCAACTTTTTGAAGAATGCAAAGAAGAAGCCCGCCAAGGTAGATCTATTCTGCCGTACCCTCGGATCCGTGGCAAGTTATTTTTGGTGACCTACTTTGATGCCAGCTTGGGCAAGGAGAAAGATGGCAAATCGCAACTAGGTGCGATCCACTTTTTGTCCAATGAAGATGTCATTCATGGACCACAACCAGCTGCAGCAATCGACTACACGACCAACAAAAGCAGCAGGGTTGTTCGAAGTTCCATGGCGGCAGAATCATGCTCGCTTAGTGTGGCGGTGGACAGGCACTTGTACATCCGCCTGATTGCAGACATGATGCTGCATGGCGTTTTCAAGGTTGGCTCCGACTGGCGTGAGAAGCTTCGTGTTGGAGGTGGCATCGTGACAGATGCGAAGTCTCTCTTCGATCATCTTGGAGCAACTGGTCAAATTCCGGCGGAAAGACAAACGATGTTAGATCTGCTTGTCGCGAAGGACCTCTTGGAGCAGCAGATTTACAAGTTGTTTTGGGTACCAACCCATCGACAGCACGCTGATGGACTTACAAAACCCATGAAGAACGTGCTGTGGGAGGAGTATTTGCGGAAGAAGACCATCAGTCTCAAAGAGACGCCAGAGGAACGCGAGATTGAGGAACACCGCAGGCAGCTAAGAAAGGGACAACGTGAAAGGCGGAAGATCCGTTCTAAAACTATGGCAGCGCCAAGTCAAAACACTTCATGGCGGAGCCAGAATAGCAACTGGCAGGGCCAGAACAAGTCAGTGGCAGCGCCACGTGAGACTTTTGCCGTTGGCCGCGCCAACGAATTCGCTCAGCACCGAACAGCCAACACCCTTCCTTTCCAATGTGAAAGTTGATGTTCAGCGGTGTCTAGTGGCATGTTCGGTGTTAACTGCAGCTTGATCAAGCGCACGCAGCAAAAAGCAGCGCTTTTCGCATTCAGCTTTTACTTAGAGCCCAATTCATCTCCGCACCTTCAACATGATCTGGCTTGATCCGTCAAAGCAAGCACCAAGCTCAGCATTTTGCCCAGTTCAAAGCTTTGTTAAGTTATACAGCTTTTCTGATTTCTTTTGAGGAAGCCGCGAAGCCTATAGTCGGCTTATACATGTTTATAGTACAGTGCGCAGTATGCATACTAATTATATAATTGAATTAATTGTGTAAGGAAACTCGCACAAGCTTTGGGATTTACAGGCTGAATCCCAGAGTCCTTATTTGTGCTTCAAGAGTTGCGGCCTCCCAGCCGATGTTTCGCCTTGTGGCCTGCTGCGGTGCCTTCAGACTCACCTCTCGCCCGCCTAGAATAGGGTAATTAGATGGTGGCCTCGAAATTTGTTTTAAGAGGTGCACCCAGGCGAAGTCAAAGCTGTTGGGCATCCAACATAGTTCCGCACTGGACCAAGCCCAAGCCAACGAGGCTGCATGGTGGGTTGAGGATGATGTTGGGCAGCTTGGCTTCGTTTTTTCTGGGCGCAATGCTGGGGTTTTGCACAGTATTTGGACACAAGAGCCTTGAAAACATGTTCTGACTTCAAATTCCGTCCAAGGCCCTTGTATAGGCCTTAAAGACCACGACGTGGATTCACGCTTCTCTTTATCTCTCATCTCATCCCCTCTCATCCCGGTCAAGCTGGTATTTGGACCCCCAAACCGCTGTTCCAACCGTCCAAGGGTGACTAGGCTAGCAGCTAGCGGCTAGCGCCTTGCCCGCCCGGGTGGGGTCTGCCTTCAGCTCGCGAGCTCAGGTACGTGCGCCACGGCGAGGCACGGCGGCGCTTGGGCGAGGTGTTGGTGACCGTGCTGGACGAGGTGAAGGCGCCTCGTTCCGCACGGTCGGTGGTCTCTTCCGAGGTCGGTCCGGCCGGGAGCGTGCCGCACGGTGCGGCGTCCGAAGTCTTTTTGTTTCCAACGGCGTGGTTCGCCGGGTGTTCTTTTGCGAGCAGTTGTTGGAACACGATGGTTCTGACGAAGAAAGGGGGGCAAGGGGCGAATTCTGCAGAGTCTGCACTGCACCTTGTTGGAACCGAATGGAGACAAGGTCGACTTCAGGTTTGGGAAGTGCTCGCTCTGGTTCGTCTTGGCAAAATGGAAGATTTTTTGATGGAGCTCACTTGGCTCACATTTGGTGATGAATGCACCTTTTTTCTCAAAAAGAACTTACCACTTCCGCCGCCCCCCCGAAACTGAACGATCCTTCTCGGTCGTGTTCCCTATCCTGGAAGGTCGGTGATCCATCACAAACATTCGTTTCGCTTGGCCTAGGGCCAAGAGACGCAGCGTCCTCGTCAGGAGTCTTCCAAAGCGGAGATGAAAGCAGCTGCCTTTGGAGCCCTACAGAACTTGGTGTCGCTTGGGCAGACGGCTGCAGAGTTCTGCAGAACAAACTCCCTGCAAAAGAAACCCAAGAAAGGATCGGGATTTTGCTCATTCATAGTTATTCATTCTCCACGAAGTTCAATTCTTGGAACACTAGAGTAACACTGGAAATGAACACTCAGTCTCAGCTTTAATTCATGCACATTGGACATGCATCTTTCTTAAAGCAACTCCGAGCTCGAAGGAGCCACCGGATTTTTTGATCCACCAATCTTGCCACCACATTTGTGAGGCTTGGTATTTCGCATGCGGCTTGTGAGGCCGTGACCCACCCTGTAATCTAGATACACTGAGATTTCAACGGAACAGATTCAAACAGATTTTGCCGCAGGTGATGATTTTTCCTCTGAACAGGTCGTTTTTACATTCCTAAACCATCTTTTCTCGGTTCACCTCCCTGACATTATTACTTTTGGAAAAAAACACACACTTCGGAACCCGTTCGTTTTCGTTTCTTTGTCTCCCACCGTTCGTTTTCGTTTCCTTTTGGGCGTTTCATCCCGTTTCGACGATCGGCTCGAGGACCGGATCGCCCGTGGCCTTCCGGCACCTGGCACAAGGGCCCGTGGCGGAGAAGGTGGTTCTCCTGACCGAGGCTCGGCCGCTCTGAGCGGACGCGGCGGGGAGGGTCGAGCGGAGTGAGACAGAGGGAGTCGGAGTCGGAGGGGGTCGGAGATTTGGCCGAAATCGTGCGCAGTGAGAGAAACTCAACTATTCAGGGAGTCAGAAGAATTCATGAGAATTCTGCCAACACTTTTGAGTATTTCCTCTATTTCCTGCCACTTGACTAATTAGGATTGGACATGACTCAATCTCACCAAGTTGCTACGCACTGGTTCACAGTGGAATTCCAACACAAACCTGAGTTCGGTGGACACCCAGATGACCATGTCCATAGGCGCAGCTGAAATCCTTGCCTCACGCGGCCGTGGGGGATGGGTGCCGCCTGCTGACGCTGCTGTGTAGCGGACCACGCACGGCTGCCCAGCCGGGTGCCGCATGGAGTCCACCCTGACAAAGTCGAAGACGGGCGAGTCGAGTCCAGACCAAGCGAGTCCACAGTGACTTGTTTCCACACTTTTTCCATCTATAGTGATCCTGGAGTAGATAGAATATGGACCAATCCAAAAATCCACTATAGTGATTTTGTATGGGTCCATATTCTATTCTAATTGAGGACGGTTGTAAGAGTAGTTTTCCATCTATAGCCTGTTCACTTGCACAGATACCATAGTCCGCCTGTTTTCATTTTCAGAGACAGGTTCGCATGTGCGGCGGGTTGCCGATGCACAAGCGCTGCCCTTGGCGATGGAGCGGCCCTCAGACTGGAACCCGGACTGGGACCGCCGGGTGTGAGAGGCAGGTGGGACCGACAGCCAGACCGGGCTGAAAAGGAATCATCATGACTATCATGACTCATGCCAAGAGCTGCAAGACATGTCAAGACCCTCAAAAACCAAGTGACTTCCAGTAGTTAGAGGTAGACGGCGTTTTGGACAGGCAATGATAGTTGGCTGATACAACTCTTCGTATTCGTTTCTTTTCTTCGATACCCAAGCGTTCTTTTCCCAGATAGCGTGAGCTATTAAGGTTCTTACTTCAAGTATAAGGAAAGCTGCACGTGTGCGTTTTCGAGCCTGGGTGGTTATCAATTTTCAATATATATATATTTACACACACTATTATTAAATATATTATACAAAGGCTTGGGTGCTGGCGCCGCTGCAGGGTGCCGCTGCTTTGCGCGCTTGGGAGCTTGGGTGCTGGTGCTGTTGTGCCGCTGCTTTGCATGCTTGAGAGTTGGGTGCCGTTGCAGGGTGCCGCTGCAGGGTGCCGCTGCTGTGCGGCTGAGGGCTTGGGCGCTGTACTGCCCACCACAATGTTTTGCTATCTGGGCTTAATTGGGCTGGTGCATTTTTTTTCTCGTTGAGCCATAAGCCAAGCTTCTAGTCGATTCGCCCAGGAGATTCTCAAACGGTTGGAGGCTGGGCGATCACATTCCGTGGTGTGTCGTTGCAACCATTGTCCTTTTGGCAGCAGTGGGGTGTCCTATGCAAAGCCCGGTGTGACTGGCCCAAAGCCTGTAATATATTGGGAGACATGCTGTCCAACCATGAATAGTGCGTATATTCACTAGCATGGAAAGCAGACAATATATATATATAAACAAATAGACTTGTTGCGAAATCAATTCACAACACATCAGTTCACCTTCCAAACCCACACTGATGTTGCTGAGGTTTGGCCTCCCTTCGGCATGGTTTGGTTGGGTTTCCCGCAGGGTGTGGCTGTCGTCTGCATCTCCAGGTGCATCCACAGGTCGCCCCTGCCGCCGTGGTTCTCTTGGGAGTGCTTTGTGAGGCGGGTTTCAAGGTCAGACATAGGTGCTTCAAAGAGGACGAAATGGTAAATCTCGCATAACCTGGTCGGTACTGTAGTGAGTATATATATATATATATACATATGAGCTGCCGTCAAAACATGCGAAGACCACTTTGGTAAAGAAGGGTAGGTTTGTGCACGTTCAACCCTGCAAAACGATTTATCGTTCCGCCTCAAAACCGATAACACAAAAGCTCGTTTTCTTGATCATGCAGTGAACGCGGTGAACTCAAAACACGGTAAAACGATAAGATTCAATTCAACACCGATAACGCCAATTTTTAGTTGACAAGTAATAATGATTTTGACTGTCCCTCTATATAATAGGATTAATCGGGAGCCCTGTGGATCTTCCTTCTCTTCATTTCCAGAAGGCCTTTACTTTTTTGTTCCTTTGAGAGCACCTTCGTGTCCATTTGTTATTCAGTAGTTTACCGGATTGTCGATCTGGCAGTCTGAAAGCTGATATAGCTTGATCATATTCTTATGAATCAACCCATCCCTGTCTTACACGTCTTGGATTTCTCAACCTCCCAACCTGTTTTCCACGGTCGTCCACCGCCCACTTCTAGGCGGTCGACCCGCAGCCCGGCTTGCTAGAGCTGTGTGCCGGCCCTGCCAAGCAGTTCTCCAAGCAGGCACGCCTGACGCGGCGTGCCAGAACTTCTTCATGTTCATGGGAGGCCCAATTTCCGAGGTGAACCCTTCGGCGGGCAAGGAAGGATCGGCGGGCACGGGTTTCATGTGGAGATTTTTGATCGGACCAATGCAGAGAGGTTGAACGTGTTGGACAATCCTAGCTGAAGATTCGGAGACTTCACAGAGCTGCCGCGCCTACGAAACTTCTTCCTTCGCTCTCCTTGGTTTAGTGGACAAATGACTGAATAAGGTTGAAGTTTATAGAATACAGCGATACGGAATCGCCTGTTGAACGTTCATCGATGACTCCGACTTCCGACTCGTGTGGATCGACGGGCGCCCAGATTCGTGACGAGCTTGGCTGGGCGCGTGCGCCTGTGGCAAGCGCGGTCTTGGCCTTGCTGCCTGAGGGATAGACACGCCGGTCGGTCTGACATGCCAGTCATGTAGTTCCTGGTGTCCGATTGTGGAATCACGGGAGACACCTGGAGAAACAAGAATGAACGCAAACCCGAAGACCTGAAAACTTGTTGCAGATGAACCTGACTGCCCCAAAGATCCTTTAGAAATGGGAAGCAGGCCAGATTGGCGAGCAAGAGTCCGATGTCGCCGAAAAGGGCCTCGGTCTTGCAGGAGTTCTGAGTTTGAAGGGCCATAGAGGTCAACGTTGACATCGTCACATGCTGCACGTGATGCAGTGAGCAGATGCCAGTATTATTTGAAGGTCAAGATCCATGCACATCGAACGTGTCCCTTCAACATGTTCTTAGCATGACAGCCAACCGCTAACCTTGACAAGTATTCACAAGCCCACCCAACCATACCCAAGCGTTTAGCATCACCAGAAGGGTTCTCCTTCTGCCTGGGCCGAGAAGACCTCGGCCCCGTTGAAAAGAAAGGGTGGAGCAGTCCGGGAGATGGTGGTTCTTGGAGATGGTTGGAGATGGTGGGACTGACCGACCTCTGGATGGTTGGAGTTAGACAGTTAGACAGACCTATCGGAACCGATAGGATGTCAAGGCTCCTGGCACCCAGAAGCCTTTACTAAGTGAAATACTGCCTCTTCCACCCCAGTGTTCGGGCTCGGTGTGTTGTTTTTTGGTTTAACCATGGAGAATGCCTAGGATTTCATGGTTTTGCCGGATAGTTTTGGTTTCCACTTGCACTCAAAGGTGTTCCAAGAAGGGAAGCCTATGACCGCAAACCTGTGTAATCTTTATCAAACAAATACAACTTGAGCTTTATACCTTGCAGTTCAGCAAAACCCACACCACCGTGGTCTTGGTAACTTCATTTCCCTTGGAGCGTTGCTCGGCCTCCCTTGGTGCACGTGAAGTTCTCCGCTTTTCCCCAAGGTTCTACCGCTTTTCCGTGGGCGGGATGCCGAGCTCTCAGCGTTCGGCGTTCGAGTGTTTTTGTAGAACATGGCGGATAGATTCGGTACATGGTGTTGGGGCTCCAGGTTTTGACCCACAGCCATTTGATTGAGGTTGAAGACCTGCAAACGGTTGAAGCGAGATGGGAATCCTCCAGCTGTCCCAAAGCTCCAAGAAGCTCCATAGTATACCTGTCAAGCCGGCTCGACTGGCAAAGCCATGCGATACTGTTTTGCCAAACTGCAACAAAATGATTCTGATATATACCTAGAACCTCAATGACCTCTATTTTGGACCACCCAACATATGGTCTTTTCCTATCAAAACAGAGGTCATGTCTGGGTTCCAGGTAAAAATATTATGTATATTCTGATTCTAGACTGTGCAGATTGGGTGTTCCGGATTCGCTGGGTGCCAAACACCTTCGGCAGCCCCGGAGAGCCCCGCAGTCCAGGAGCGATGTGGTTGAGATCAAGGGGCATCGACGGACCTATGCTCGAGCCCTGGGCAGTGGGCAACAAGAGAAGCCTCAGCTTGATTGCCTGGGGAAGAGTGTAAGACCGCTACAAACAAGGCCAAGGCGGTCAAGGCCAAGGTCATTAAATCACGAGGGTCTTTGGGCTTCACTGTCGCACAGAGTCCCGCAGTCTTGTGCCCGAGTGCCCGCATCCACTGGAAGCTTGGACTCAAGACTGGATAGTTAGTTCCGATGAGTTAAGATCAGTTAATGGAGTTCTGGCTGAATCGCAATTTCACAAGTAAACCAGGAGCCCACATAGACCCAGAAATCACTTCTCGCGCCATGTCGCGTCCGATCGATAGGTGGAGGTGGTGCACTGAATATGTGAACTCAGATGAGGTCTTAGGGGCTTCCAAGCTTTGCGCAAGTAAATTGGCGCACTTAAGCCTGCCCATGCCGCTGTAGGCACACAAGATTGGGGGTGTGGGTCAAACGTCAAACCAAAACATTCCAAGACATTGTGGCAGAACATGTCAAGGTAGACCTGTCCATTTTTGTTCGGGGCAAGTTGGGACCCACATGATTGGAGGGGTCCGATTCGGAGCGGCCTGGCGCGATGGCGTTTTTCCTTCCACGCGGCCTTCGCTGCGGGCAACTCGGAGTGGCGCAGCTGCAGTACTGTAGTAGTAATGCCAGGAGCTAGCTCCTAGTAGTAAGGCCAGGAGCCCCTAGTAGCGTCCTTGCTCCTAGTAGCGATGCCCTTTGCTCCTAGTAGCTTCTTGTTCAGCGATGGACCTTGTTACTAGTTACTAGTAGCTATTTGCTGTGTCCGGCCCAAATGGATGTGGCTCGAGATGGCTCAAGATTTGTTTGGCCCCCAAACCCACCGGTTTTGGTCCGATGTTTCTTTCACTCATTTGAATGGTTACAATTTCCACACACCAGAAGAAGAAGAAGAAGAAGAAGAAGAAGAAGAAGAAGAAGAAGAAGACACATAGTAATAATACCACCGGTTTTGGCTACGCAGATGGACATTCTTAGCATATTTTGTAGCTCGGTGGTCCAAGACATGTGCTGTGCCGTAGAGAAGTCGAAATGATGTTTCAGCATAGAACCAATCAGCTGAACAGTTAAAAGCAAGGGCTGAACACAAGTGAAACCCTACAGGTGTCCATCTCAGCTGAAAACTGGATGCTGCAACCCTGGAATCTGTAGGAGGAACAAGCTCCTGCTGAAGGAGAATCTTGCACTACCCTCCAAAAGAGCCCGAAAGCCCTTGCATCGCCTAAGATTTGATGTGTTTGCGTTCATTTGCTTCCCAGATCCACATAGCCTAAGGCTGAAAAGACCCCCCGGCTTGAGCGTCTTTTACTTAGTAATTCAACTTGAGCATTTGGGACCTCTGTCTTGGTCGTTGTGCTGCATCCTTCGGTCGATCCGCTTGTGGGAGGCTCGATGCTTCAGTCAGAGGCCCCAACCGGGCAGGGATGTCCAAAAAGAACTGGCCGATCGAGACGTATTTCTTTGTTACGGTGCAAGCCTCATGCATGCGAAGCCAAGACCAAGAGCCACACGGCTCAGTAGTCGCGAAAGGAAAGGTTTTGGAATCTTTAGGCTTGACCACTACGGAAATTCAGCTGGTTCTTTGCTTTGGGCACCCAGCAGACGACAGATGAGAAAGCAACTTGCCAATGTCCTGGTTCCCCCGTTCCGAGTGGTACCTTCTTGTAAAGTACCATCTGGGACTGCTTCAGGGTCTTAAGTTTATAGACGGAAGCCAGCAGTGCTCTTTTTGAAACCCAATTCTTTGCCACCACTTTTTCATCAGACTTGGCTGGTTTGGAAGGCTGTAAAGCTGAGACTGCTGCTCAAACACGAGCGGACACTCACAGTCTGGCAGGCCGCGCTTCAGCCTGGTGGTGGATGGTGCCTGAGCCACAATGTGCCGACAGGGCGCCGGAGCACAATCCTTACCACAGGGTGTTTCTAGCAAAGGAAGAACGGAAACAACATTTTGTTGACTTAGGGGTGGCCAGGGAGTGACAGGGTGTCCCCTGAGGCCTCCCCCTAATGTATAGCTCTTTGTATTCCTGTTGGAATGTGTTTCCCAAGATCGATGTTGCCACCATCGCTTCACGCGTGTTTTTTTCGGGGGGATCAAACCGTCAAGCCAAGGGTTTGTTGCATTCTGTGGGCTGTAGCTTTGGGGTCGCCAAATGGGCGGTCGCCGAAAGCGACACCTGAATGAATCCAAGTTTCTGTAGACGCGTTGATGGGCACAGTGCTCTTTTGGGATCTTCCTGACAGACAGGCAGGATTGCTGACAGACTTTGGCTACTCAAGATTTCCTGAGGTCCAAGGGCCCAAAACTGTTTGGGCTTCGCAGGTGTCACTTACTTACTTGGTGGTACTTGTAGCTTCCGAAAGGAACTGCAAGTGCTCCTCCTCTTCGAATGAACCTGCAGGTGGACATCAGGGAATGATACGTATCTGTGGGCAGCAAGACCTTTTCACATGTGCATTGTCCCCTGCACATAGGGCCGCGTCGGGCCACCTCGAGAGTTAAACATTTCGGAATCGTGATTTCATCCAAAGCGACATGCTATTCACATCGCAGCTACTCTCTATTGGATGAAATCTCCGTATGGCCCTGTTCTTTCAGCGACCATTGGCCAATCTCCATAACCCTTCTCAAAAACGACGGCGTCATCTTTTTAGTTAAAGGGTCCGAAATCATGTTTCCTCCTCCGACCCACCTCACCTGACCCGATGAATGTGCCAAGTCACTCTTGAGGATGGTCAGGTCGATGCCAGTGCGCTTGTCATCTATGTGGGCTGAGGTGTTGCGACACTTGGTCATCGTGTCGTAGAGGGACTTTGAGTCTGTGGCTGCAACAAAAGGAAAGCTGGCCAGCTGTGACTCCCATTTATCAATCTGAAGATTGACATCGAACAGCTCGGCCAGCAAGAAGCGATGCCAGTGGAGGTTGCCGATGCCCTGAAGCATCGATTGGCACTCTGCCGACAGGGTGTTCACTGTGCAGCGTTTGAGCTTATAGCTCTTCCAACCAGCAATCGTGATGTCCTGCTTGTGGTCAGAGGTTTCTAGATCCTGGTGGTAGTAGAAAAGGAGGTATCCTCCTTGACTGTGTTTCTTAGCCAGTTGGAGGAATCGTTCAGACAGGGGTTGGTTCGTGACCTTCTTGTCCTTGGACTTGAAGAGGGTGGTGGTACCTGTCCATTGGGCACCTAGGTCTTTGAAACCATCTGCCCCATCCCACCTGTCATGTTCGATCTGGCTTCCAGCTTGTGTTCTCCGGTCTCTAGTGATCTGGTGCAGATCTGGGCCACTTGGATCAATCACTGAACCGGGATGGAAGGTTAAGCGACGTGGTGCGACATGGTGTCGGACCCAGGTTGTGGGTGTTTCCGTCCAGTAGTCCTTGGTGTTGTCACAGTCGGCATTGGGACCGGCATTGGCCCAAGAAGCATCGGTAGCTACTCCAATCCTGAGCTTGGAGAGTGGTATTGGTTGGATTCTTAATCCCAAGTCAGAGGTTCTTCGGAGGTCTTCTGCGATGCTATTTCCTTCTACAATGTCTCGGATCATGGGGTGAGGCATAGTTTGCTGAAGAAGTGAGACTCGTCCAGCAATGTCTGGTCGACATTCTTTGGCCACCCAACTCAGGCCTCCAATGAGCTGTCGAAGCTGTCCGATTTCTTCTTCCGAGCATCGAGAGTATTTTTGAGCTCCACGTTCACGACTGAGAGGGATCTTCTTGATGTAGTTCTCGATGTAGTTCTTTTGGGTAACTCGAATGGACCCGTTGGCTTCAGGAGTTAGTTCCTTGCCAGTGAATTTCCCTTCTCCCGTAGTGAACTTGCCCATCTTGTAGTTCTGTTGAAGCCACTTCATGTTCTTCCAATGTTGTACTCCACCTCCATGGACCATGTCGTCAGTGGCGAGAGCGATGATGCCGACCGTGTTTCTGGTTTGGCGGCATCGGAGGTAGAAAAGACATGGGTCGGCTCGGCTCTTCTCATACCCCAACTCCTGGAGAACCCTGGTGATGTGTTGGTACCAGGCGTAAGGACCATCGGTGAGTCCATAACAAGTTTTCTTCAAGCGTAGGAGTTGCCGTGGATGATATCCTGGAAGTCCTTCAGGAGGGAGTTCAGCATAAAGTTCCCGAGCTATCAGATCTCCAGCATGAAATGCTTGGGTGAAGTCCAGGTGTCCGAGTTCCCATCTCATACTGGATATCACTTGTAAGGTGAAGAAAACAGTTTCTTTTGCGACCTGAGGGGTCGTCGAGGCAAGGTCTTCGGCACCTTGTTCCGAGAAGCCTTTCATGACGTGTCTGGCCTTCGCCTTTTGGGGTCCGAGAGATGGATCATTGTCCTCAATGAGTAGGCCGTCTTGTTGGAGCTTCTCGACTTCCTCCACCTCGACCCCCTTCTCCGTGAGGACGTAGCGGGACTTCATGATCTTCTCCGCTTTGGTTCTCCTGATATGTTCGGATTCACCCCGATCGAGGACCTCGTAGGCACCTGAGCTCAGGTTGTTGGTCACCTCCTTGAGGATGGCCTTGAGAAATTTCTCTTTCTTCTTGGCGGGGAGCTTGTTGAGTACAATCTCCTTGCCCTTTTGTGGTCGAAGCCGGACGAGTTCTTGATACATTAGTTCCAGAGCTTCTGTCCTGATTCGTTTGACCGGTGGTTCAGGGTCCTCCACTCTCTCGCGGATCACTGGAGTAGACCGTGGTGACGTGGGTCTCTCCGGGGGCTTGTGGTTGTCCTCATCTTCAATCATCCTTCTCTCACGCTCTTCGTGGGGATCTTGGTCACCTGGTTCGGTAGGTGTGTAGTCATCCATCCTGGGCGACATAGACATAGGTTCCGGATGGTCGAGGTCTCCCTCCAAGGCTGTTTCCCTTTCTTCCGGTTTGAACTCGACCTCGGTCTCTGCTGTTTTTCCTTCAATTCGGTATCGAGGTTTCTTTGGTGGTGGTGGTTCCTCTCCGTCAGGTCGATCACGATCTTCTTCTTGTTCTGGTAAAGGTGCATTCTCGATGGCCGGGGGCTTCTCGTCGAGGATGATATAGTTTCTAATCTTGTGGTTCTGGATCTCCTTCTGGGTGTTGACAATGTCGGTCAAGAAGTCCATGAACTGGAACTTTTCGTCATTGGTTATGGGACGAAGGTGTTCGGGAGCTGCTTTCACGAGAGTTCCTCTATAGCTGACCCATATTGTGTTCGGGAGGTCCGTGAGGATGACCTTGCCAGGCCCATGCCAAAAGGCTGGAGAGTCCTTCTTCTGTCGTTCCATTCCCTTTCTCCAGAAGTAGACCGTCTGACCCACCTCATAGTCGTAGAACCGTTTGGGGCCTGCATAGACCGAGTGTTTCAAGGCTTGTTCGCACTCGACTTGATGGAATGCAACAGCGGCTTGGGTTCGAATGTCTGTGGATCGTTGAACTTGTGCATCACCTGCGTGATAACGGGACATCACTCCAATGCTACCTTCACCTCCTTGAAAGATGCCTCCTGGAAGTCTGGGACTGTAACCAAGCATCCGTTGAATGGGGCTGAAGCCGGATTTGTTGGACAGGCGGTTCATGGTAGCGTTGACCTCGTCCACGATGAGGTGCCACTCGTCCCAAGATGAGCAACCTGCTTCCATTAGCGTTTTTGAGAGGACTTCTTTAAAGCTTCTACCAGCTCGTTCCGTGATGGCTCTTTGAGTTGGCATCTCTAAAGATCCTGGGTCCAGGTAGATGTCGTTCTGGTCCGCCATGAGCTCGAAGTGTCCTTTGAACTCTTTTCCAAGGTCACAATAGATGGCCTCTGGTGGTCCAAAAACTCTGAGCCACTGGTGAAAGGCCCGAACTGCTCCTTGAGGTGTGTGGTCTTTTACAGGGATCGTCAACTGAAATCTAGTAGCCCAGCAAACGCAGTTGAGGGCCATCTTGAGTTTGCCGCCAGGTTCAACTCCCGGTAGCCATACGGTGTCCACTCCCACCACCTGATTTGGTTTCAACTGTCTGGGAGGAGCGGCCTGTCGTGCCCCATCGATTCTTTTGTGTCTGATGCAAGTCGGACACACAAGATTCTTGGCGATGTTGACGGCTTCCGTGGAGGCCTTGGCGGTCTTCAGGATGTTTGCTAGTTTTTGGTTTCCTGGGTGTCCTAGTCCGCAGTGCGCTCTCCGAACGAGGCTTTCCATGCTACCTGGTCGTTCAAGAGGTAGAGGTCGTTCAGCATGAGGGTCTTCTTCCGGTAGTCCATCTGCTCCTAGATCACGAACTGGTAGTGGTTCATGATGATCAGCTTGAGGTCCCTCCTCCGACTCCATTTCTTCGCTCGCCATGATCTCCATGAGTCGGTCCACTTGGTAGCTCTCCTTGAAGAGGTCGTCGGTGTGGGAGACATAGAGCTCCTCGGTGTAGGAGATGGAAGCCTTATATGCCTTAAGAATGTGGTCTACCAGAGCTGTAGGGTACCTAGCCGCATAGGCTGATCTTTGGATTCCGTGTGAGGATCCAAGGATTGGTCGGTGAGGGTGGTCGCCTGGGCATTCTTTGTGAAGTGCACTGGCCAAGACCTTGTTGTTGCACAACCATCCAGTGGGCTTCTTATGGTAGTCACCCTCGATGGATTTGAGCTCGAACTGGCATTGGTCATTCTTGGTGAGGAAGATAGCCGGATCTTCAAGGAGGGTCCTCAGGCGGTGATCCTGCCAGGCCTTGGATGTCCATGGATGCTCAAATAGAAATGTACCCCCATATTCATGAACCATGTGGCACAGTTCCACCGCAAATCCTAACAACAATTTGGCCTCCATGAGTCTCCTATGGTATTCCTGTTGTTTGTGAGGGTCGGACTCTCGGAATTTAAGACTCAAATTCTGCAACATGGACAGCATG